GTACTTCCTGATAAACAACCTTCTCCAACACATTGGTCTAAGATCATTGACGCTGGATGGAGAAGCAACCTTCGGAATTGGATAAACTACGGCTGTTTTCAATATGGATGGAAAGTACCCAGTCTCTGAACAAACATTAAGTCGGCAAAAGAAACGGTGATCATCAATCAGATTGTCACCCCAATAACGAATTAGCAATTTGTGAGATTCAATTAAAAAATGTCGGTGCCATCTTATTGGAAGTTACATCTACAAACACCATAACGGATAGCCTTTTATAATTACTTTGTAACCCTATAACCCTGTAAACCTGTCTTGGTCGAATACTTCAGGACCGTGGCCAGTTTTATAATTTTTCCTGTAGAGCCCCCCGTTATTCCTCGGACTTTCGGTTTCAAATGATTTGCAAACCCATAATATTAAATTTTGATTAACTCCTTTTTTTTGTAAATATGACAAATCAAACTTTCGTTTAAAAATATACCACATAATTTTAATATTATGAGATTTGGCGATATGACAACTAATCAACTGGTTCGAGGATGTAACCAAAAAATTGAAGTGTTTAAATGAATCGAATGGAAATCCTATAAATATACTATAATGCATGACATGATAGCTTATTCTTTTGCTGACATCGTTATTAAAACTTTAAACAATAAGACGACAAAAAGGTATTCTTTTGCTACGAGCCTAAATTTATACTTGGCATGATGAGGGTTTATAATTAATTTAAACATTTACGCCGCAACTTGCCCAACCTAACCTTTCTAAAATTTGTCAAAAAACCTGATTAATATCGTCTAATGCAAACTATACAATAGTTTTCAATTTGATGTTTGGGTTTGACTCTTTTCAGTCATCTATTATATGCCGGGAGGCCTATTTGTAACGGGGCCCAATCTTTTGTGTAAAATATATATTGTGAAATCACAATAAATGATTGATACAGCTTTGTATTGATTTATCGATTATAAACATTAAAATGAAAGGAGTTACAGTCGACCTATCGCATTAGAGCTTAGCACAAAGTATCGTAATTGTATAAGGCGATCAGACCAACGCGATTTGCTACATTTATTGTGTTTTACCGGCATAGGGTTTTGTTCGCATATAGTTGAAGTATAATTTTTTAATTGTTTGAAAAAAAAATCTTCTACTCAATGTTGAATGTAAATTACATAGTTAAATAAAAATAAAAGTAGAATAAAACAGGTCAACTCACTCGATTCATTTAACCGGTAACGTATTTAGGCGAGTCCCAAACCACTCAATCAGGAATACGTCGGACCATCACTTCGTCAGATTTTTTCAGCTCGTTGTTAGAGAATGAAATGAAAATAGGTAATGCATCCTTCGGATATTTTCTTACCTTAAATTTTAGTATTTTTATTATTTCGTCCTCAAAATTTGTGTAGAAGAGCAAGGTGAATTTCATATCCAAACACTAAACTATTCTTCAAGTACGTTAATAAAGAATATTTCATAACCTTAAATACAGGAATTGCTAGTAAAAATTGAAACAGGTATTTAGTTTTAGAGATTTCAACTCAAACATTTTTTCTGAAATACGTTCTTTGTTAAGCCATAAACGCTATTCTGAATTTTTTCTAATCTTGTTACTTTCGAAAATCGATGAAATCGAATTTTTCGAAAGTATCTACGCTGGTATAAAAATTCTATATCTCTGTGACGGTAGGTCCTAGGGGACCGTCGTTGGTACAGAAATGATCGGCGTTGAAAAAAAAAAATTTTTTTTGTCTGTCCGTTTTCCGTTCTTCGTACTCGTCTTTTGGTTCTTCCGGAATAACTTTGTAACCGCTTGGGCTACCAAATTGAAATTCACCTCCTTTTTAACGAGATACATCAGCCTATAATAAATGGTCTTGGTCTGACTCGGGCATCTATCTTTTTTTAGCGATTTTCGACTGTTTTTTGGACATTGCTATGAAACACGATAAGTGTCCGAAATTTGAAGCGATCGACTTCATATTTGTTCTATTCTAAAAAAATAAAAAATCGCGGGTGCAAGGCTCCACAAAAAATATGATTTTTCCAAAACCGTTTACGAGACCAAAAACATTCTTGGACCAGAAGACGCAGAAGATACAGCTCCATAAAATTTTATTCTTGACAATTTTTCAAAAATATACAGGGTGCGCCGCAAATTTTTAAAAAAATGAAAAATGGGTTATAACTGAAAGACTATGATTCAGAGGTCATTTTCTTGCAGATATCAAATTCAAATTTAGCAGAGAATTAAAAGTCCGTATCCACATTTAAGCAATAGAAATTCGGTACAATCATATTTTATCAAGTATTTTTTAAAAATTTTTGATTTTTTTTTTTGGTAATAACCGTACACCCAGTCCAATAACATTTATTTTAGGCATTTGTTCGATTGTATACAGGGTTTTTAAATTATAGACACCTAAAAGACTTTGAAAATTGTTCTTTTCCAGAGTAAATTATTAACCGCAAATCAAAAATCATAAAAAATATGGCTAATGGTGTCATAGGCCGCATCAAGAGCTACAACTTTTGTTTTTGGGGTTTTCATCTATCACACAGGGCTGTCAAGGTGCGATGACGTCATTGATTATTACGACGCACTGCATGGTTTCAAAAAAATCTTATTTTCTTGAAAACCATTTACTATTTTAGAAAAATTCTTGGACTAAGAAACGTGGAAGATTCAGGGCTATAACCTCCATTTTCGGAATTTTTTCTAATATGAACAAGGTGTGTCGATTATGGTAAAAAAAAATGTAAAAGACCCTGAAAATTGCCATTGTCGTGGATAAATTATTATCCATAATTGAAAAACATCTTAAAATTTCGTTTAAAGTCTCGAATATTGTGTAGAGACAGAGAGTTTCAAGTTTCGTCGAAGATACAGGGTGCGCGAGATAATATAATTGGAAATCGTTATTGCTTGTACAATTTTTTATATTTATCAAAGTTTGTTGTGAGTTTGAACTTCGGCGATAAGTAGAAAACGCTTTATACAGGGAATATGCACAATAAAATTACATCGATTTTGCGAAATTTCCATAGTAGTCCACAGGAGCACGATAGAAAAACAATGCAAAACAATTGTTTTATAGGTTTTAGAGAGATTTTTTCGCACTATATGTTTATTTGAATGGGGCGTGTTGAGGGATAGGAATATAATTTTTTTTCTCAATTTTTGCTTCATTTGTAAATTTAAGATCTTCATTTTCAAATTGAATTTTAATATGTTCTCGCAAAAAAATTGTAGATTGTATGCTAAAACGCATTTAACATTTTTATTTGTCCGTTAATGAACCATCCATTTGAGCAGCGTTATAAAGTAAAACACTTTTGACTTGTAATTAATATCAATTTTCAATCTACTTTAAAATAAATATAATAGTGTTTTGAATGCCTTTAATGCAAAGTACTTAGGCAGGTTTAATCTTTGAGTTTATGAATATATGAATTAAAATAATATAAAAAATATTATTTTATTTTATTTGAATAAAATGTTTTTTCACATAAAAATTTTGCCTAGATATTTTTCGATTAAGTATGTATCGCCCTAATCGAAAGCACGTAAGAAAAGGATAATCGAGAATCAATGAAGTACATTTTTGCAAAACATCATGGATCCATTCACTGACATATGACCTTCAAATTTTAAGCTGTGCGGTAATATCTCCGAAAACAACCGATTGCTCCCAAAACTGTGCGGTAATATTCCGGAAATATCCGAAGTGGCTCGGATCCGTGGAAAACGAGACTGACGTGGTAAAATGACACTTTCCCCACGCTAGATCTGACTATAATTAGGTATTTTACAGCAGGAAGTAGAAAAAAAATTCATAATCATACCAGAATTGAAAGTAAAAATTGAAACAGTTTTGAGACATTTCAACCTAAATATGTTTTTCTTCTGATATACGACCTTTAAAATTCAATGTAGATGCTTATTTGCATGTAGCGTGTTGATGGATATATAACTATTTTTACATAAATTAGAAATGTGGTCATTATACCTCAGTTGATCATCCATTAGGGCACACGTAAGTTTTTTACGTCATTTGTGAATTTAAGATCTTCATTTTCAAATTGAATTTTTATATGTTCTCGTAGCTTGTATGCTAAAGTACCTTTAACATTTCAGTTAATGAACTATCCATTTGAGCAGCGTTATAAAGTATAAACACTTTTGACTTGTAATTAATAAAACACGCCAATTTGCCGTTTAATTTAAAATGAATACAATAGTGTTTCTTGAATAGCAATGGAGGTTACTAATATGAACCCGCCTCTAATGCAAAGTACATAGGCAGATTCAACAGTTCAGTACATGAATATTTGAATCAAAATAACAATAAATAAAACATTTTTTTTTCTCGCATAAATCTAACAAAATAAGGGAAAATATATTTGAGAAAAATGTTTTTTTCATAGGAAAATTTTGTTTAGACATTTTTGAATTAAAATCGAAAACCCATTAAGCCCCAAATTTTCGCAAGCTTTCGACCACTGTTTCCAAAACGGATGTAAGATAACTGATTATTATATACAGTTTTATAAAAAGTTGCCAATTGAATGAAACATGCGCCAAAATAATCAGCTTGCAAAATCTGCCTATAAGTCATTTTGGAAAGAAAAGAAAGGCAAAGAATTGTTTAAAAGAACTTTAAGCGAAAATATTTCAACCGCGCGTCTTTTACAAAATGGAATTGGCTAAAAAACACTTCTTAAATATCAAAATTATTTTAAAAACGCGAAGCGCACTTTTATTAAAATTTCATTAAATCCAAGTGCCTCGATCCAAGATAAGAGTACCCAAGTCCAGTTTCGAACAATTGTTTTTTTCGTCACTCTAAGGTTTTCGATAATTTCAACAAGAAAACTTTATAATGAGACTGAGGTGTTTTTTGCATTGGCACCTTCAATATTCAATGTCGGCCACGGTTAACGAACAACACGCCAATCGATTAAAAATTCATATTATTTTATCACCTAACCTGTCGGCGATAAAGGCATGGCGTTGGGCAAAACGCTGGGGGCGGTATTTGGCACGGGCAATCCGACGGAATCCATTTTCCAGTTGACGATCGTGGATGATCTGCCGCCCGGAGCAACAGGAACAGAGCAACACCCAGACAACGCCGCGACACTTGAAAAATCGTTTCCGGTGCCCAACGTACTCGTACCGTTCGAAATTAACATCTTATCAACAAAACGGAACCCGATCGTTCATTGAGCGACTTTTTAAACAACCCGATACACGGTGGTTTGTATTTGTACACTACGGAACCGGTGAAGCTCATCGGTCGCAAGCAAGACAGTGAATGACTGCGTAGCTACCTTGCAGGTAAGCGAGCGTTTTTTAACGCTGCTCCGCGTTGGTTGGTGTTCACTCGATAGGCAGGCTTTACCCTCTTTGCGCCTTGCCCACTGGATTTGCTTAGCTTCCACTAGGTATCCACCGGGCACGGCTCAAGTGAGAAGGAAGCACACAAAACGCTAGAGGACGGCGATAATAGATCATTGATAACCGGTACAATATTTTATTGACGTATTGCCCGTGTCTATAACTATTACGCGTAACGGATATGCGTGGCGAGGAGGTGTCCGGACGGGATGCTATTTTTACGTGTTCGTCGGATTTATTTCTTGTTTACGGCTAATACAAACGTTTGTTCATCGGAAAGTTTGGAGTAGCTTAATTATTCACTTACGCAATTTCGAAAGGGGGACTTGTAATTAATTAATTGCGTGGCGCGTGAACTGTTCTCTTTTGTTTGGTCTCCTCTTTATCTTTACCTTTAATTACAACCAGAAAAACTACGCATAAATTGAAAATGTCATCTTTTTAAATACAAAAAATGTTTTACGACTGGGACAAAAATGTAGAGTTTTCAGAAACATCACCTGTAACCACGGGTGTTACTACTATCCCACATCACCGTTCTTCCTCATCCACCTTCACTTAATTTTAATTCAGAAAATTTATTTGCCACCAGACATGTTCGATATACCTACAGGAAAATTGAAAGAAAATGATTGGGTAATATTTTCCCAAAATATTTAAAGTAATAAATTTCGCCGTAACAAATAAATGAAACTTTGTTTTAACGCTTTCCTACGCGGTGTTTCGAAAAAAAAAAGCACATCGGGAAATGCTTAGTTTCCAAGATACAGGACGTCCAACATTAAAAAAATATATATTTTAATATTTTAAAATTTATTTATTGTATCAAAAATAATCATACATGAAAATACGTTTCGTCAATATTCATGATTTTTCTAGTTCTATTTTTAGTGGTTTATTCAAAATATATAACATTAATATTTCTGTGACAAACCTATTCGTTAAGATATCTTCTGGCACGGCACTGGACTTCACAATTTTAATATCAACAAAATCTTGCAAAAATATTTAACATATTGCAAGAAAACTTTCTTGTATATTTACCCCACCTTGTCATTGAAAACTATCATCATTTCCGGACCCACGTTTTCTTTTTTTTTTAGATGATACATGCCAATCGAGCGTTTTATATAGCTGACACTTATGTATAAAGGGCATCAGAATTTCGTTGCCAGTTTTGGTTTCGTGTTCATAGGTTCGTTCCAACCGATACTCAGAAACAGTTTCGTATAATTAGACCGACAGTTTTTTTTCTATACAGTCACAATTTGAAACGTGATTGGGAACTGTCACAACTGATTGTCACAATTTTTAATTAACCTATAGTTTGACGCATACGCATTGTAAATGGGTTCGCGTTTTCCGTCACTTGAGATTCACTTTCTAATACTAAGAATACTAACGAATCGGGTACTTCGTGCAATCGAACGGCTATTTTATAAGTATTGAGTACTTCTCAGTTTGCTTTCATGATTTGTAGAGGGTATAACAATTTTAACTTATTTAACGTCGAAAGAATTTTTATTTGTTCACAAAAATATCATATTTGATAAATATTTGTATTCTTCTTCAATTTTTTGCGTGCTTGCACATTATGTGAAAAATAATATCCAATTTTCTTTATTGCCATCTGTATTACCGCAGTATTTCAAATTGTATCTGGAATCTGCGAGCGCTGTTGTACGTATGTACTTATTTATCCAAGATTTAAAAATCCCATCACTATCTATGATGTTAAATAAATTTTGTTAGAGTTTGTGTAGTGTTGTTCTTGTGATTTTTGGCTTTTTAAAACTATTTTCAAGATTTGAGATTTAGTTTAATTTAAATTTATTTGTAAGGTAAGATAATTAGTTAATTACTACATAAATGCGAGTGTGTATAACGAAAATAACAAAGCCTCATCAATAATCATTCTGTCATTTCTAATTTCTGGTGACTTAGAATTATAAAAATTAAATTAAATCAAAAATGAACACAAGTAGAAAATTGAGTGGCATCATAACAGAAGAAAACTGTAAAATCCATCTACCAAGTTTTTACACCAACACGCAAATTCTAATTTAGCGGTCAGTTGTTCCAACCAATTTCTATAAATCGATTCGCAACAATCATTGAAACCTGTTGGACTTGTTTGTGATTTTGGGGCTGTAACGAACAACAACAATTTTTACAGTTTTGGTTTTTAGTCGATTAATGGCAATTTGTCACTTTTGGCCAAGTTCTCTGGGAGATTAATTATTTCCAAGAGTATTGCATCTTTATTTTTTCTTATTTTAGTGCTCCTTTCAGTCATAACTTTTGTAAATTCTAACATAGGAATAGGATGCTGTTGCGCTATAGTTTTGAAAACGGTTGTGTAAATGCTGTATTTTTATGTTCTATTTAAGATTTAAAGAGAACAAAACACATTAATTAACTCTTATATAGAAATCTCGTAGTGATGTATACACAAAATGTCACTATCACACAAGCATAAAAGCGGTGTCAAGCTTGATTGAGGAGAAAATTGTTATGGGATTAATCTCTCAAAAAAGCGTGTTTCTAAAAAATATCAAAAAATGAACTCTACCCAAGACTCTACCGACCTAAAATAGACATTGCATCAACGAGTTTTCAGAAAAGTTCAGTAATTCAAAAACAAAACTAGTTATACATAATCGTAAAATTAGTAAAAATCCAAGCCCCCTTTATTTCGTGAAGTATAACTTGGTAGTACCAAGTTTTTGGGAATATGTTAGTACTTTTTTAGGCCATTTTGAATACCTCGATCTTCAGGAGGTGGTACCGAGCAAACTGTGCGACGTCATTACCTTTCGAATGAGCTTAAAATATAATAAACATTTTGTTTTAAAAAAATAAAACAAGCTCCCCTACTAACTTGATAGGTGCACTACGATAATGAACATTAGCTACATTTTAATTTCTTTCCATTACAGTGAAATGCAAATATAACTCGCGTTATACCTCCCTAATTCAACTCCCTACGCGTTCCCCTTAATTGCTTTAAACGTTTTCATAACATGTTAATTTTCTGATTTGGCGGATTCCGCATTATTTTGGATTTAAAACCCATCTGTACAACCCTTTAATTGTCACCCATCGATTTAGGAACTTCTTACCGCTTGTCGAATTATTCTTGCGTATGCCGCCTCCGCGTGCCAACGATGACGTTTATCATGCCCGCCGTATATCCTATATATAAAAATCACCGAAGTGTTATTTATATCTCAATTGAGGCGTAATGGAGTGAAATTCGTCGCGTATCGAGGCAGGCGTGGCCTACGCGCACGCCCCTCCCATTTGAAAACCATTGGATTGACGGAGGCGTTGCTAGCGAGCTTTGCCTGCTCATAAACGTAATTGACCAATAATGCACTGAAATTTTCTCGGGTCCAACAAGTGAAATAGGGAATGACCCATTCTAGTTAACGCTTGCCCGCGGTAGGGAATTTTTGAGTTGTCCTATGGACTTTTAATTTTGAGATGCGATTGCGATTTGCGAGGATTTTTTAACTGACGATTTCATTGTGATTTTATTTCCTAAAATTAAAAATAAAAGAGTCGCATCGTATGGTTTACTATGAAACGAAATTAAAAAAAAAAAACTAATGCAAAGCGGTAAGTATCGTTCAAATTATTGTTAAAACTAAAAACTTTGAATCTTTTTTCCTTTCGCCTTCCTTGCTCTAAATCGTTTAAAAGTGTATAAACCGTTATTATAAAGAGCAAAATTTTCGATTAGGGGATCAGTATAAGCGGTGTTCGAATGAAATAAAACTGCATTTTTTTTAGGTTGAATGGAAAGACCGTGGTTGATTGTTACAATAACCACTTCAAGCAGCGAAAAAGAATCCTACAACTTACGGACTTATTCAACATATATCTCGGTCAATAATAAAGAAGGTACATGTCGACTTAATTTTTCACCCTATATTTTTATTATGTGTTAGTATCTATATACCTGAATATTATAGACAGTTTATAATGTAGTTTTATTTCCATATTAAAAATTTTTTTTATTTTTTTTTTTTAAGTATTTATTACGAATTTACAAGGTTACAATTAAATGCTTAGTACTACGGAAAACAACTGAAAACATAAGTCTCGTTACCCGAAATTTACATCTATATGACGTAATTATGTACTTAAAAGTTGTTTAACAACAAAAAATCAACAATGATAATATTCTAAACTTAAATAATTCCGGTTTGCACAATGGATTCACAAGAATCTGTGTGTGCAACCTAGTATGCAGAGATATTACTAGTTATTACATAAGGTTTGTACTCTCAAACAGTTGGAAGAAAATATATCACACATATATAAATAAATTAATCTTATTATACCGGGCGACTTATGAATTAAACCTTATTTTTTTAACTTTTTTACAAAACTTCCGGATTCCTCCTGCGTCGGTTTTTGCTGAGTCGAACTTGCTGACGTTTTGCCAATCATCCTGTTGGCTCCTTCAGAGCTTGACTGTTTCAGTCTCAGTCTCTGAAGCAACCAACAGGATGATTGGCGAAATGTCAGCAAGTTCGACTCAGCAAAAATCGACGCAGGAGGAATCCAGAAGTTTTGTAAAAAGTATTATAGTAGCCTGTGAAAGTTTCTTTGAAAAAATTCTTTTTTTTTTTTATTTTTCCGGCATTGATAATTATAATAATAAATAAATAAGAATAAATGGAATGCTCGCCTGGGAATTCGTCATTAAAAATAAAAATAAAAAGGTCCGGAAATGCGCGTTAACTATTTCAAAAAACAAAACATTTGAAGTCTAGTATCGTCCCTGGGAGTTAACGAATAGGTACTATTTTTAAAGGGATGTAAGCGCCTCATATTTTTGTAATTTTTGTTATTTCTTGGAATATGCCAATAAAAAGAAACAAACTTAGTATTAATGTAGCCTACGACATATATAAGGATTATCGCACTTTGTTACAAAAACCAATTTTTTAAATATTTAACACCACGAAAA